AGCAGGAACCACGAGAAGGTGGGGATCCAGGGAGACTTCCAGGTTTACAGGGTTTACAAACAAATAGTAGGCAGATGCTATTAACTAGAGTTGCTGATTTAACTTCTGTTTCCCCTTTTTATTGTTGCTTGTTCTTAGAAGCATCCCAAGTAAATCTGCACCATCCTGGCCTCACTGGCACTTTGCTTTCTGTTAAACTCTGGCAAAACCATTTGCCATGCTGGCAAGAGCAGAAGATAGAGAATGAATAATCAACATGCAGAGAGCAGTGCTGCTCCCTCCTTCCATGTGCCAGCCCAGGCTCTATTCACACTCACCCCACCAGCTGTGGGTGGTGAGTACTTTCTTGACCCACTGGCCTTGCATTCACAGGACTAAAATGGAGAATTAATTGTCAGGGCACACCTGCAGCTGGAGGATGAGTCAGCCCCAAGGGGCTGCTGAATCAGAAGAACTGAAACAGCCGCTGAAGTTGGAAAATAAGCATTCTTGTACAATCTAGTGCTAATGTCCATGCAGAAAATAGACATGAACTTTGGAGTAAAAGTCAACAATAGCAAATGAATAAAAATGAGAGCAATGCTACCAGAAGCCCTTAATTCTGGTGATGTCACAGTTCCCAAATGCCCTTCAGAAATGCAAATTGCCTACAATGTAATAAAAAGGGCATTTTTTAGAGTGTGCAGAGCTTGCATAGTTTAATTAAGCATAAGCTAGGGTGACTCTGGAAAGGAAAATGATGTGGATTGCATTCTCTGAATGACCTTGGAAAGGCACTTAAGATACTTTCTCTGCACAGCAAATTAAGTAAACTCACTCTTCATGTGCTGTCACTTCTATACCTTTCCTTTATTTAGAAACATAATTTTTGTTTTCCTTTATTCCCGGATCTCACACTGATTTATCTCTGTGCTCAGAAAATGTGATTTGTTTCCCTCAAGGTAACTAAACATTTGTCTACAGCCTCATCATCTCTAGTTTTCTAATCTCTAATTCAGCATTACTTATATTAAACTTCTGCCACCTGCTTTCCTTGTTTTCCACCAAAGTCTGGCTAGGGGGATGGATTAAGTTTCTGAAGCTATCAGCTGAAATGCTCTCACAGTATCAGTCACTTGTTTTGTGGAGTCTCTAACATGACATGGCCAGTTTTTGTCAGATTTTGAAGGTCAATTTTTAAGCCCATTGGATCATGTAGCCTAGAGTTTCTCAAAAAGGAGGTTGTGACTGTATGGAGAATGCAAGAGGGTTAAGGGGCTGGTGCCTAGATACTGGGGTGGGGCAAGGAAATGGTGTTAGCAGCTTGTCTCCATTTCTTCTGGGCTAGGCTGTGGAAAAAAGTCGTGGTGTTCCTTGCTGGGAGTATTGCTGCCAAGAGGGAGCAGTGGTAGCACCTCAGGTCTGTGGGATATGGGGACAGTGGGATTTAGATGGCGTGTGCAGCTTTTAGAGCTGTTTCTTACACACTTGCCTTCAGCTTGACCTTTCAGAGACCCTGCTCTTTTTTGCCTTTGAAATTGAGTGACCATTCCCACTTTGCTCTTTGGATATGCTTTTCTCTTGGCATCATGCTGTGACTTTCAAGGAGGAACAGAAACTTTCTGAGGAAGGTTTGAAGAAGGGCAAAGACACTGGGAGAGGGCAGGTGGGGAAATGGTGCTGATTTGAAGCTGATGTTTGAGAGGTGATGGAAATTGAGTGAACCACACCACAGGGGCTGCTGACTCATAAAAGGTGGAATACCCAAAAGGAAAGTAATGATCCTGGGGCAACTGCATCATTAAGGTATGTCAGAAGTGTCTTTGATTGCACAAGCCTATAATTAGTTACGAAGAATTGCACTGTGTCTGAAGAAAGAAAACAATAAAGAATTATTCCCTGCATTAGTGACCAGCAGGATCAGTGAATAATGCTCCGGGATTGCTTTAAATAGAATGTATTCACTGTTGAATGCATCTAAATATAGATTTATATTTATTTTTACAACTTCAGAGTAAATGCAAGTTATTCAGTAAAACTGAAGAAATCCTTTAAGATTCCACAGAAAAGATCTGAAAGTCTAACGATTCATTTTAGGGCTTAGTTCGTGTCCACTCTGCTTGTAAGAAACCTGCTTAAGTATCTTTTGAAAATTATTTTGAAAACTTAAGATCCCTTTGGTTTTGTGGTAAGAAGGAACGAATGGAGAAAATGGAGCAATTGCAGCAATAGCTGCATTACATGTTTGCTAACACTAGATGGGGTGTAAGGAAAGA